CCCCCGCAACCTCCACTCCTCAGCCAGTGGATTTTGTGTCCAAAGGCCTTTCCCCATCTTCCCTGTGATCTGAGCATCCCTCTGAGACATTCCCCAGACTAGAGAGTTGGCTCTGTGGCTCTGCAAATCCAGGGTCAATCTCAGCCAGCTCACCCCTAAAGCTCCAGCACCAAGTTGGAGCTCAGCATTTCTAGGCTGACAGTGTCACTTTCCACAAATGCCCGCATCTTTGAGAAATCACTCAGATGGGCCTAAGAGTCACCTGAGGTAAAGAACATTTGAAGAGTAACCACTGCTTCGGGTGTTTTCTGACCTCTAAACAGTTAAGGCCCTAGGGAACTAGAGCCCATAATGTGGCCTAAGCTCCTCACTGGCCCTACAGCACAGGGCAGCACAGTAGATTTCAAGTCTATTTGCGCCGCAGAACTCTTTCTTCAAACTCCAGCATATGTGGATGCCAGTATGGCACACAGGTAACTTGGGATTTATTGGCAGGGATGGGGGGGCACAGCACACACACCTTCCAGTTTGAGTCTCCCCAGCCCCACCCAGGAAGCCTTGGGCCCCCCTCCAGAGAAGCAGCAGCACAGAGAATCAGAACTGTGGCTGCTTAGCGCTCCACTGCCACCCAGCTGCATGACTATAAACAGATCACTCAGCCTTTCTACACTTCATCGACTTCATTTCTGTGACCCCGAGCTGGATGAGGTGACCTCGAAGGCCCCTCTGATTCTGACATTGCAAGACTGTCACAGAGTCTCTAGAAAAGGGTGCCTCAGATGAGCTCCCCAGCAAACAAGGCTCCCTTCAGCAACGGCATTGCCCACACGTAAGCCAACCCGAGGCCCTGGCACTCGGGCGCTGGCTGCCAAACTCACCGTGATAGGGTATTTCCATTGGAGGAGGCTGCAACTGGCCCAGGCCCTCAAACGGCCAGACGGGGGTCTCAGCCTGGTTCAGAGGGTCAGGGGCTAGGCTCCAGGCCATCACTGCGGGGTCCTCTTCCCACTGGTCTGAGGCCAGGGCGCCCACTGGAAGCACAGCACAGTCTGCGTACTGGGGACCCATCTGCATGGGGACAGCAGCCCACAGGGGGCCCTCGACCTCCGGCAGTGGCTCCTCTTCTAATAATTCAGGGAAGGCCTCACCCAGGTTCTCATCCGCCCGCAGGTCACTCAGCTGCCGGTTGGACCACTTGTCCTCTGCAGCAGCGTCCTGTTCCCCGGGCTGATCCATCAAGAGTGCCAGGCTGCTCTGGGCCAGTCCCTTATCTGCAAGGGGCCCCTCACTCACAGCTGAGAACACCTGGCTTGAGCCTTCTTCTCGCCACTGCTGTAGCAGGCCCTCACACTCCTCCTGCTCGGGGCCCCGAGGGGCCATGGCAAAGTCACCCTCTACCTGGGGGGACAAGCTCTTCGCCAGAAGGACATTCTTTCGGCATGTAAAGAGAGCATCTAAAAGAAAAGCCAAAAGACAAGGCTATCAGATGACTGTTCACCCAACCCACGCTCTGCTTCGGGCTTGAACGTAAGCCCCACAAGAGCATAAGCAGCACTGCCTTGCTGTGCATCACTGAGCACCGGAACATCAGTCATCAGAGCCAAGTGCTTCCCATGAGCTGGCCCCTGGTCTATGTGCTTCATGAGTACACTGAATTTATATGGTCTCACAGTCATCGAGTCCATGCCAACTCATAGTGACCGTGTAGGACAGGGTAGAACTGCCCCCTGGGGATTTCCAAGGCTGAAACTCTCCACAAGAGTAGGAAGTCCCATCTTCCTCCCATTTATATTATAGGGGCCTGTAAAATATACAGTGAATGAGTCAAAGAATGGCTGTCTTACATAATCTAGGCCAGAGATGAACACACAGAGCTACACCTCTTTCATCCACAGCAGTGGTTCTCAACCTTCCTAATGCCACGACCCTTTAATACAGTTCCTTATGTTGTGGTGACCCCCAACCATAACATTATTTTTGTTGCTACTTCAACACTGTCATTTTGCTACTGTTATGAATCAGGCGGGTCGTTCAACCCCCCAAAGGGGTCACGACCCACAGGTTGAGAACCACTGACCTAGAGGTTGAGACTCTTACTCTCTATCCATTTTCTGGTTCTAAGAATTACACTGGAATCAGCACTGACCTTGAATCAGAATTGTGGAATAAGAAGCCAGTGTGAAAATTAACAAAACTGTATGTCTTTGGGCAATGCTCTTAGTCAGATGAACTCACTCTTGTCAGTACTATGGGCCCAGCCATTTGCACAGGTAATCGCCACGAGTTTTCCTACCACCTTGAACGTGTTTGGGGCGGGGAGCCCTAAACTAAACAAAGGGGGGGGGGCACAAAATCTGTATAATTTCTTGCTTAGCAAATGCACTTGAGCATCTTCTCAAAGTTAGTCATTATATTCACACTCACAAAAAACTTCATTATCAGTTTTCCCATTCCACTACATGTCAGAGGCTGCAAATGAGAAGGTGCCAACTGACAAGAAGAGACAGCTGTGATCTCTGTTACAGCAGCCACAAATGACAGCCAACAGGCAGGAAAATAGGCGGGGAAAGGCCTAAAATTAGAACCCTCCCCACCCCCAAACTCCAAGCCTAGTATTTTGTTCAGTGCAATCACCCCACTCCTACTGAATCACTCAAGACACACACACACTCAGTACAGAGGTTCAGTTTACCAGCTTTATTTTTAAGACGATAAGAAAAAGTTCAATGGTTCATATGTCACTATATTGTTTTATGATCTCTCTGGATTTATGTCCAGCGGTTTTCAAGCAGGGCCTTTTGCTCCCAGGGGACACGTGGCACTATCTAGAACCAATTTTCGACTCTCACAATGGTGGGGATGCTACTGGCAGTTAGTGCATAGAGCAGTGTTTCCAAAGTGGGTGATAGCGCCCCCTTGTGGGGCACTGGAATGACCCAGGAGGGCTGCAAAAGTAGGTGCCTACACTCATCCTGGATTTCAGGCTACACTACAAACGTTTTCAATTGTTGGGGGTGGGGGTACTGAGTAATTTTTTTTTTTTTCTGAAAAGGGGATGGTAGGCCAAATCAGTTCGGGAAACTACAGGTTGGTGGCTAGGGATGCCATCACACATCCTACAAGGCAAGGGGCAGCCCCCGCCACACATTATTTGGCCCCAAATGTCCAGTGCTGAGATGAAGTTTGCATTAAGCCTCTGGGCTGGGTTGCTGGACCTCAGTTCCAGGGACTTGATATTTCTCTGCCTCTGAACTCCTCCTCTTATGCATGCCAGATGGCAGAAGGCCTTTGGTTTATAGACATGAGGTGGCAGGTTTTCACACTTAGCAGTTTAGGATTTATTTGTTGGTGGTGGTTCATCTTCTCAACTACTTCTTCAACTACTCTATAGGTTGCAAGGGGGGAGGTGGTCTCCTTCTGAGACCCCTAGAACTCTCTGGAACCTCCAACCAAACCAAACTCACTGCCATCAAGTCAATGCCAATGCAGTTACCCTATAGAGAGTAGAACCTTCCCTAAGAATTTTCGAGACTAACTCTTTATGGGAGTAGAAAGCCCCATCTTTCTCCCAAAAGGGTGGCTGTTGGTTTCAAACTGCTGACCTTACGAACTGCAGCCCAATTCACAGCCACGATGCCACCAGGGTTCCTCTAGAAATCTCTTAAGTTCTGTATTTCAGTGAAGCTGCCATCCAGGACATAGGAAGCGTTCCTGAAACTATGGCGCCCCACTGGAGACCCCCTCGCAGAGGGGTCTCGGCGAGGAGACGAGCCAGTCAGGGTGCGAGGTAGCAACAATGAAAACTACAACTTTCCTCTAGTTCCTAAAATGCTCCCCCACCCCCACCCCGGCATCATGATTAAAATTCTACCTTGCAAGTCTGGCTAGACCACAGGATGTACACTGGTACAGATAGGAACTGGAAACACAGGGAATCCAGGGCAGATGATCCCTTCAGGGCCAGTGGTGTGAGTGGCGATACTGGGAGGGTAGAGGGAGAGTGGGTTGGAAAGAGGGAACCGATTACAAGGATCTCTATCAGGCCTCCTCCCTGGGGGATGGACAACAGAAAGTGGGTGAAGGGAGACGTCGAACAGGGCAAGATATGACAAAATAATAATTTATAAATTATCAAGGGTTCATGAGGGAGGGGAGAGCGGGGAGGGAGGGGGGAAAATGAGGACCTGATGCCAGGGGCTTAAGAAGAGAGCAAATATTTTGAGAATGATGAGGGCAATGAATGTACAAATGTGCTTTACACAATTGATGTATGCATGGATTGTGATAAGAGTTGTATGAGCCCCTAATAAAACTATTATTTTAAAAGAAAAAAAAAAAAGAAGCTATGACGACCTGACTGAAGGAAATAATCACTGTGGGGAGTTCCTCACTCCTCAGAAGTATAGATAACACAAAACAAACACCTCTGAACTAATTCCCTGTGGGCCTGCTAGCACTACAGAGGGGTGCCCTCCCTGCCCCAAGTAATTGCCCTTTAAGGTCACCCCAACTTTCCCTCACTTAGAAATGGTTAAACCAACTCAACCCCTACAATTGCTTCATCACCATCACCTCTACTGACTGCTTGTGTACCTCTTAAATCATTGAAAAGATTGGTGAATTGGAGAATGCTTTGTTGTATACATGTTTACAAATAAAAAGAAATACCAAAAAAATAACTGACCATTTAAAGCATATGTGGGGATTATAACAAATGTAGAAATAAAACGTATGCCAGCAATAGCATTAATTAATAGATCACTGAAAAGGTTTGGAGCCTTTTTGTCTAAATTCCCAAATTTATTTGGCATTTTGCCTGCCTTTGCAGAAAAAAAAAATACTCAGCACGGCACACTGCCTGCCCCCCTGCTCTGCAATGAAAAAGTTTGATACTACCGCCCATAAGACAGAATAAAAGGTAGGTGTCTGCTTTTGTAATAACGATTATGGATCAGGCTGCCACCAGCCGCTCCGAGAGAGGACGAGGCTCTCCATTCCAGTTGGTCTGAGAAGTGCACAGGGGCAGTTCTACCCTGTCCTCTCGTACCACTATGGGTCAGAACTGTCTCCATCTGCGTTTACAGCACCGCAGTGCCAATCGTTCCCCCAGAAGGCCCGTTTTGGGAAACACTAAGTCCTGGGGGCCCAGTGGTTCCGCCTTGGGCTGCAGTCTGCAAGGTCAACAGTTCAAAACCACCAGAGCACCAGCAGAAAGATGGGGCTTTCTACTTCTGAGTTAACCAGGGGCAGTTCTACCCTGTCCTGTAGGGTCACTTTGAGTCAACATCGACTCAATAGCAGTTAGGGGTTTTGTTTTGTTGGGGGGGGGGGGTTTGTTTTTTGGTTTTAAGTGCCAACCCACTGAGTTGAAGACAACAAAGTGTCCCTAAGGGCCTGCAGAGAACTGCCCTATAGGGTTTCCAGGGCTGTGCAGCCTTCTCTCGGCCACATCTTTTTCCCTGGAGTGGCAGACCCGAACCTCTCAATTGGTGCTGAGTGCTTGAGCCGGGCTTCTATCTTGCACTAACGGAAGGCTTAGGAATAACTGTCCGGACCGATTGCAACTTCTCTACCAATTGCACTGGAAGCGGGGTGGGGCTGCCTGCAGAAGGCACGGAACAGTCCAGGCCCTGTCCTCTGGGGCTGGTAAGGTGGTAGCGGTAAAACCCAAACTCACTGCCATCGAGTCGATGCCCACTCACAGCGACCCTGTGGCACAGGGCAGAAATGCCCCTGTGGGTGTCCGAGGCGGCACCTCGGGACAGTCGAAGAAAGCCCTGCCTTCACCTGCGAAGCAGCTGGTTTCTAACTGCTGGCGGCCCAATGTGTAAGTCGTTTAAACATTTTTTTAAAGGTATCTTGTGAAACATTTTTTAAAAAATCAGTATCTCTGCAAAATCGGGGGATTCGGTGGTATGATCCCGGAGGGGGCAAGTGGTCTCAGCAGAGGCTCTGGAACTTTCCAGACCGGGGGTGGGGCGCCCACTCCTCTGCATTCGGCCTACACGCACGGCGGCGTCCGAGTTTGAGGGCGCAAACGTGGCCGACTCCGAAGAACCGTCTCCCCACTCCCCAAACACTGGGCCGAGCGGGCGCGCTGCGGGGTCGCGGGTGCGGGGCCACCCCGGGCAGCACCTCTCCCCGGAAGCCCGCCTCCGGTCCCCTCACGTTCACCGCGCCTCGTCGCCACCGCCTCCCACCCCGGGCACTGCCCTGGGGCCGGCGGTCGTGAGGCCGACACGCCGCAGGCCTGCTCAGGCCCCGGGGGGCCGGCGCTGCCTCCCGCCGGTCGGACGCGGGCCGGTACCTGAGAGGGCGCGGAAGAGGCGCGCGGCCGGCAGCAGCAGGTAACACAGGCACGACGCGATCATGGCCGGCCGCCCTCCCGCCCGCAAAGCCGCCCTCGGCGCAGCCACGCCCAGACCACGCCCATCACGCCCAGGCCACGCCCAGACGGCCCACGTGGTGCCGCCGCCGCCGCCGGCCGCGCCCCGTCACGCCCAGGAAACGCCCAGACGGCCCACGTGGTGCCGCCGCCGCAGTCGGCCGCGCCGCAACAACAACTTTATTGGGATCTCAGAGCCACGCGCCCGCCCGCGGGTGTGGGGAGCCGGTTCCCATCGCAACAGGCCGGGCCTGGCTGAGGGCTATATCTCTGTTTAACAAACAAACACTTCTCAGCTCCAGTCAATTCGGACGCATGAAAACGCTGTAGGACAGCACAGAATTGCCCCCGTGGGATTCCGGATTCTGAGGCTGTAACATCGTTAAACCCACTCAGCGGTTTACGCGAGCAGCTAAGCATCTTTGGCCCCGCTGGTGGTTTCAAACTGCTGACCTTGAGATTAGCAGCCCAACACGTACACATAACCCACTACCCCATCAGCGCTGTAGTGCCCTGCGTTAGACTTTAGTGCCTCCCTGGACAGTGCAAGATAATGACAAAATAATTATATCAAGGGTTCATGAGGGTGCAGGGAGTAGGGAGGGAGGGGGGAAAGTGGGGAGCTGATGCCAGGAGCTTAAGTGGAGGGCAGATGTTTTGAGAATGATGAGGGCAACGAATGTACAAATGTGCTTTACACAATTGATGTATGTATGGATTGTGATGAGTTGTATGAGCCCCCACTAAAATGATTTTTTAAAAAAAGAATTTAATGTCTCCCTAGCAGCTACAGTTTTATTCAAAGGCCACTCGCTTTATTCAAATTCCCATTTTTGCCACTAACCAGGTGTTCATTTCAATCCACTGTGTACCCTTCCTGCCCCTCATTCTTGCTCACATGGAATGAGGGGACTTTCTCAAGAGCCCTGGTGGCACTGTCAGGTCAAGCCTTTGTCTGCTAACCTCAAGATCAGTGGTTCAAACCCACCAACCACTCTACGGCAGAAAGATGAAGTTCTCTGCTCCCTTAAACTGCTGGGGGTGACTCAATGGCAGCAGGTTTGGGACTTTCTCTAAAGCCTCATCCAGTGTTGACTGTGATTGATCCCTTTCTAGTCCAGAGAGGAGAGTGTGTGAATGTGTCCCCGTTTTACCCTATTCTCTGATTCTACTGTCCTCCAGTTCAAAACCCTACGTCTCAAAACGGAATCCACACTTTGTCTCAGTGAGGAAAAGTTTGCCTTGGCCACCCTGGTGTTCGAAATAGGCCCTCTCTTACTAGCCTGGTGGAAAGGGGGATAAAACCAACAGGGTATCTCATGGCTAAGAAAGACGGGGGGAAATCCACAAAGAAGCCCTACTGGAGCCATGGTTAAAGTGCTGGCCTGCTTCGGTGGTTGCAACCCACCAGCTGTTCTCAGGGTTAAAGATGGGATACACTGTTTCCCTAAAGATTGAGAGCCCTGGAAACCCTATGGGGCAGTTCTACTCTCCTTTAGGGGTACCATGAGTGGGCAGTAGCTAAGGATCAAGTCTGGTTTATTGGTGGATCATTGGTTTAATAGAGGTGTGTCGATAGGACCTAAAAACAGTGTCAAGAGCATTGTTAGACCCAAATAAGCCCTTCTTAACTGATTGAACCAAGCATGTATCACTACATGAAAGCCAGTTTCTCCACCAACTCTGTGTGACTCAAAGATCCGTTTGAGTCTCAGTTCTCCAACTCTTGTCCCAGCTATGATCTGAAGAAGAACGAACTGTGTAAACACTCCCTTATTTCAGTACCCAGTGTCTGAGCCGTGCAATTTCCAATCTGGGGCTGGAGCCGCGGTTGTTCCGGGAAGCCCTCTGGGGAGTCACCAGATCCAGGACCAGCAGGGTACATCGTCACACTGAAAAGCTGGAAGGAAAAAGGAAGAGTCAACAGAGTCCCTTTCCCACATTTTATCCTTAGCTCTACGAGTAGTATCCACTTCCAGGCCACGACACCCGCGCCTTTCACTGAGATGAAAAGCCAAGGCTCAGAGGCAATCTGAAGAGCGGAAACCCCATAGGAATTAGTTCACCAAAGTTACTAATCCCTAAGGAGTCCCTGAGGGGTCCTAGTGGCACAATGGTTAACAGTAAGTTTGCGAACCAAAAGGTTAGTGGTTTAAATCTAGCAAACAGCACTATGAGCGAAAAGGCCTGACCATCTGCTCCCAGGAAGACTTCAGCCTAGTTTTTCCCAGGACAAAGCTCAAGGGTTAGGAAAACCATTGGAAAGGACGCTGGAAACACCGCGAGGAAGCGGGATGGTGCTGTTACACTGCGGGATTGCAACGGATGAGTTGAAACGTGAGTGAAAATTGATCTGCTCTGTAAACCTTAAAAAAAAGGTTTTTCCCAGCTTAGGTAACCCTATAGCAGGGGTGTCAAACTGGCAGCCCGCAGGACACATGCGGTCCCCGAGGTAATTTTTTTGTGGCCCACGGTGCTCTGAAATAAATAAAAATATAAATATATATTTATAAATAAAAATATAAATAAAAATAAAATTGTTATGAAGAAAATAGTGCTTAGGGGAGATGGAGGCATACCGTACACACAATTCCCTCATTAAGCCTTTAACTACTGAAGACGAGTCTACACATGGCCCAGTGCCTTTCCTGGGGGCCTGTGGATGTGTAGAAATGTGCTGACTCAGTTCTGGTGACGTTTGGAAGCGATATGTCTGCCATTCTCAGTGTCACATAATGTAAACAGATCCCAATATCAAAAAGGTTAGAAAGAGCACTCTGGGTTGTGCTGTTATGAATCATATCGAGCAGCCGCGCTAGGTAACATTTTTAGAGGGAAGCCATTACGATTGTGCATCACGTTTGTCAGCTGTCCAACATTTTGTGTGTTTTATTAGTTACTCTGTTATATTTTCTGGTCACGACATAAGAGATAAGTGAAAACTAGTAGGAGGAAAGTGCTGGCAAGTTTTGGGTAAAAAAGAATAATTTTAGTTTTATAAATACATTCAATAAAATAAATGTTTAAATAAAAGCAATTATATAATGTTTTAATTATCCTATCCATATTCCAGAATCCTCACTTCAAAGTATAAATTTAACAAAATTTGTAAATGTGATGTGGCCCACGTGACTCTTGCCTGTTGCACCAAATGGCCCACGTTTTGAGTTTGACACCCCTGCCCTCTAGGGAGCCCTGGTGGCATAGTGGTTATGTGTTGGGCTATGATTCTCATGGTCAACAGTTCAAGACCACCAACAGCTTCTGGGGGGAAAAGACTGGGTTTTCTACTCCGGTAAGCAGTTACAGTCTTGGAAACTCACAGGGGTCACTATGAGTCAGCACTGACTGAATGGCAGGGAGAGGAAACTCTACAGGGCAGTTCCATTCCACAAGGCACACAGTGTCTTTAGTGCACCCTCCCTGTTCCCCCTTCCACGTTGTCTCAGTACAACTCACTGCCCCTGTGTTGGCTAGGGATAAAGTCAACTCCTGGGTAGGGGTGGGGCGGAGGCCAGGCGACCTGACTTGGGCAGACGCCTGGTGACACCTCCTTTTGTGTGAGAGAGACCGAGCAGAGGAGAGTCCTTGGCCCTTCACCTTCCGCTGGAGCTGACTCTTGCATCTCCTTCCTCAGCCTCCGGTTGCGTCTCCTGCTCATCCCAGGAGCGTCGGAGGGTTCATTCGACAGACTTCAGACCTCAGCATGCACCCCTGTGCTTTCTTGTCCTGCTGGAGTCAGGAGTACCTTGACCTGAACTGAACTAGACCCACCTTTTTTTTTTTGTACACTTGACCCAGCGCCATTTATTGAACAAGCTCTTCTTTCCCCAGGTGACTGTACTTGTGAGATTCTATTTCTGGGCTCTTAAATGCATTTCATTGGTCTACACTTTTAAGTTTTTTTGTATGAGGTCAACGCAACAGTGCTTCGATGAGGATCGCTCTGTAGTTAGTTCTGAGATTGAGAAGCGGGACTGCGCCAATTTGGTGGTACTTTTCAGCAGGGTTTTGGCTACTTGGAGTCCTTTCTGATTCCTTTTGATGCTGTTGTAAATAGATTTTCATTTCTTTTTTCAGGTTGTTCATTGCTAGTGTATAAAGATAGAACTGAGGTTTGTGTGTTTATCTTGTGCCTTGCAAATGTGTTGAGTTCAGTTATCATCACTAATGTTTTCTTGTGAGTTCGTTTGCTTTTCAGGAGCCCTGGTGAAGTAGTGAGTGGCGCACGAGGCTGCTGACTATAAGGGTTGAACCCACCAGCCGCTCAGGAGAAGGATGCAACGCTCCTCTCTTGCACAGCCTTACAGGCTCAGAAACCCTAGCTGGGCCTCTGAGCTGGACTAGACTTGACAGCAGGGGGAGCACTGTCGGTTGGTGTTTCCTTTGGAGTTTTCTACAAAAACAGCTATGCCATTTGAACAGAGATAATTTTCCTTCTTTTTTCCTATTTAGATGCCTCCTGTTTCTGTTTCTTACCTAATTGCTTTGGCTGGACCTCTCGGTAAAATGCTGAGGAGATGTGGCATCCCTGCCCTGTTTCTAAGTTTGAGGAGAACACTATCATTCGTTCACCACCGAGCCTGCTGTCAGCTGTGGGTTGGACGGATGGCCAGGAAGAGAAAGTGGCACCCTACTTGTAGTTTACCGGGCAATTTATCGGGAATAGGTGTGGATTTTTTCAACTGCCTTCTTTGAGGTGAGTGGGGTGAAGAATTGAAAAAGTAAACATTTTTATTCCCTTGTTCTATTAATGTGCTCTGTTGTATTGATTGATATGTTGAATTTCTCTTCCATCTCGGGCATGGTATACAACCCGCTTAAGATGCTATGTGAATTGTTTTGCTAGTCTTCTGTTGAATTTTTTTGTGTCTATATTCATAGGGGACCTTGATTTGTAACTTTCATCCATCTTTGGGATCATGGTAATGCTGACCATGTAAAATGAGTTAGGAAGCATTCCTTTCTGATGATTGAATGAGTTCAAAAAGGATTGATGTCAAATC